TATGTGGCGCTGAGCAGAGCAGACAGGGGGTGCTGTGCTGTGAGGAGTATGGCACCGTGTGGCACAGAGCTTCCTACCAGTGGCCACACAGATACTCGAGCATCTGAACTGACCCTTTGACCGCTGGGTGGCACTTGGGTCCTGGTGGGCAGCCTCTGCTATTTGCCTTCCTGGGCCCTAATGTGGTAGAAGTGACTGGAAAAGTCTGTGTGTTGTGCAGAAGAGCTGAGCCAGTTACAGGGGTTAACTGACAAGCAGGAGGGAGCTTCAGCATAAGACGTGCATTGGCCTTCAAGACAAGACAAGAAAGATGACACCAAGCTCAGCACACATGTCCTAAGGTTTCTCAGGGGACCTCACCTGTAGAGTTGTGGGCTGAACACTGGGCGTCAGAGTAGATGGTTAGCCCTGGTGTGTGCCCCTCCTGTTTGTTTAAGGCGAGTGTTAGTGTTTGTGTGAGAGCAAGGTGGCATAGTAAAGGCATCTCTATATAGAAGTAGTTTCAACCCCACCACTCCCACTACCATGTAGAAGTAGATGGGTCAGATCTCCTTCACCACTCCAATGCCACAGCCTCAGCCCAGGGACAGGCTTATGGACCCCGGCTAGCTGGCTGCAGGACCCAGCCCCTGAAAGCCTTCGTGGTGTTGTGTGAATGTGCCCGAGAAGGAAAGAAGTGAGCTCTTGCCACAGATCTCTTGACATTGGCACGTTCCCTATGCGTATCTTCACGGTGGAATTTTCCATGTGCAGCTTTGTTTTATTTGCACTTTTGTTTCTTTATTGTCATTGCCATAAAGTTCTGACTTGATATTAAAATTTTCACAAACCAGTATTTGTCTGGACTTACTCACCATTTTAGCCCTTATGAAGTGAAACTTCACCAGAACAGTAACTGCGCTCATGAGGCACGAAGTAATGTGATTGGTAACTCTGATCATTGCAAAGCGAAAGACTGTTCAAATCACAGTACCCTGGAAGGTGTCAGAGAGACTCCCTCTAGGGAGAAGTGACCTATAATCCTGGAGACATTGATACAGTATGTTCTGTTGGTAAATGCAAGAAGGTGGTTGAAGAAGGGAATTGGCAGTCAGCAGAGCCACCGTTTCTTTTTATCACATCGAAGGCCAGCAGACCACAAGTGAAGTGTCATTTTCATCCAGTCAGGTGCCCTCCGTCTGAAGCAGCTGCTGACACAGTACAGCCATGCACAGCTGCTCAGGTTGAGTACTGCACCAGAAAACCTCTCGAAGCTTCTGTGGTGGTGAATACTACACCCAGACACGTCTGTGTCCTGTCTCCGTCAGCTTCACTCCCTGGGGTGGCCATTTCTTACACCAGCAGTGTTACTTCTAGCCAATCTCACCCAAACGTCACCTACCCCAGTCCCTCCTCATCCCCTTCCCCAGCTGCTTGTGTGAAAAGCACCAGCCTAGGCTGGGCTTCCCCGGGGACAACCACCATCCACCAGCACAGGGCAGACTGGTCGTCATGGTCCTGGGCCACACCTGAGACCTAGGAACATTTCCTGTCAGAAGCAGTGCTGGTATTTTCGTGGTCAACTTGATAACAAGGCTTGGCATTTCAGTTTGATGTGTGTTTTCCATTTTGTAACTATTTGAAGTATGGAAACCTGAGGGCCACCCTGTGCTTCTGTTTGTATCCTAACTGGAAGGGAACGTCCACATGACTCTGTATAGAGCTCTGATAGTCGGTTCTGACAATTCCAATGATGACCCCCGGCCCATGGCTCGAGCTCTGTCTCTGAGAAGCCAGTGCGTGCTTCCACGAGTGGAGGGCCCCAGGTGGCTCTTGAACTCAGGGCAGGAGGCACGGCTGGGTCTGTCTGGACTATCTCAGCCATCTACCCAAACTGGCAGCTTAGGAGGAGAAGCTCTTGGTCTGTCTGAACGTGCTCATGCCCCGAGTTAGTGCCGCCCCGGAGTGCCTGTTTGGTTCTACAGGGTTCTCCATGCTGTCGTCTCAGACTGCCATGCTGCCCTCCTCCAGGGCCTGGCCACTCAGTGACTCCAGCTTCAGTAGCTCTTTCAGCAATAGCATTGCATCCACACCTAGCATGGCAGGTACGCAACAGACTCCCACCCTGCAGAGGGTGCCGGCTGTCTTTCTGTGTGCCTGCTCAGGCCGTGGAATGGGGAGCGTGTATCTTCCCTGAAGGGTCACCATGCAGGACAGGGTGCGGGTCTGCCGGCTAAGTGCCTGTGCCCTCCTCTCCTGCCTCCCCCAGAGAGTTCCCACCAGGGATGAGGGAAATCTACTCAGCCCCAGGCCCTGGACGTGGCTGTCTCACCCGTTCCCAGCACTGCACTTCCACTGTGTGTCTCTCATGTAAGCAACTTCTCTCCAGGTTAGAGGAAAACCTGATAATTGCCGTGGAAGCTTAGAGAATCTGAAGCTGAACATCTTAAGCCAAGGAGATGCAGAGACGACATGTGAGCATGCTCACCAAAATGTAGCAAATGTATAGAGAAAGAGAACTCAGGGACACTGCTGGATTCTAAACCTCATCAAATGTTTTCTGTACTCCACCAAATCCCATCTACACCAGTGTGAGAACACTACAGGAATTCTGTACTCCACCAAATCCCGTCCACACCAGTGTGAGAACACTACAGGAATTCTGTACTCCACCAAAT